TACATGACATATACCAATACACACAGCGCCATCTATACCAATAATTTCGTTTTCCCTTGAGAATATCAATTTTTTCCGGGATAAAATGTACCCTATTATTTAATCCAGACTTCTAACTTCAAAGCAATCGGTTTAGTAGTTACGGCGCGATAGTGGAACAAACAAACAAACAAACAAACTCATTTTCCGATTTATAATATTAGTAAGATTAAGATACGATGCTGAATTCTTTTCACTTCATTTTGAAATAATATAAAACCCAATCACAATTGCTTGAAAAAGCTCCACTATCAATTTTCAATTAAATATCAGACAGTTTTCATGAAAATGTCTTCCATGCTTAGCTTCGTTCTGTGAAATAGTCTGTAATAGCAAAACCTTCAATCAATTTTCATTAAATGGGTTCGTGCTACTGTCGCTTTGAAATGCCGGACGATATAAAAATAATTAAAATCTGAATGCATTCTTAGTATAGGAATCTCTAGCAGAAATGCATTATACGCTTATTAAAAAAATAATAAAGCGTTTAAAAAACAGCCTTCTAAAAAACCAAAAACTAATAACAACCAAAAAGTAAAAACTAAAAAGCCAAAAATAACTATTATTAGTAGGTACTGATAGGTTACCCACCCCACCCACTGATAGGTTAGAAATCGGCGCCATAAGTTCTATTCAAAATTATTCATTATGACCTTAACTCGTCGAGTACCGGTTTTATAGACACAATTAAAGAACAATAGGTCGCGGTCACCGGTGACCGCTTGGTGTTTGACAGTTTAATAGATACCTAATTTACAATTATGTGGCCATTAAGTTATATTATGATATGAGCGACATTTACAAATGGCGGAATGGAATCATATCTACGTGAGAGAACGAGAATACATCTTTGTTTACATTTGGTAAATCTTTGATTTGTTTGGTTTTCTTACAATGTTTTCTTGCGCCGTAAATAATTTCTGCCTATTTTCAAAAGACTAATCCTTGGATATGGTTGATACTTGCGAGCTTGCTAACTGACGTACTTGTAAAGCCTTAACCTTCGGGACACCACGACACATTTTGTAATAAATTGATTAACACCATCGTCAGTCTCCCCAAGGGAGGATACTCAATTACGTGCGGCGTTGCCTCAGCAGTCGATCGTGTCTCTATCCTTATTGACTGTCCTTGTGTGTCTTAGTACAGATTGTAACTAGAACTAGTTCCTGGCTCTATATTCGCACAAATTAATCTTTTATGTGGCAAGAAAGTGGTTTTTATTAATACATATATTTTTAAAGTATTTTGAATATTACATTTATCAATCACGACTGACGACTAGACATAATAATAAATGTCTGTATGATTTTAAATAATTTAATGCATGTGTGGCGTGATAAAAAAGAGTAGACGAATTAATAAATAAATATGTTGAAAATCAAATTAAAATTGGTCGATTCTTTTGGTTTGGATTTGTTATGAGAAAGAAAGAAAATTATGTTACAAAGCTGGTGCTAAATGTAATGGTGGCAAGGTTCGAATAGATTGTGAGAAAAAAATATAGAACGAGAAAGGAAGTAGTCGTCTGATAGTGCAGAAAACACCCACTACACGTAGCTAAGGCTAAAGACAGGAAGAAGAAGTTTTTAAATACTATCTAACAATATCACTTTAGTATTATTTTTCTTGAGACAGGCTTTGCTAATTGTATCCGGTGTCCTTACATCCCCCTCCCTACTTGACTATTATTTCTGTTATACCCAGTCACTTGTTACTGCATTGTTTGCTTACAACAACAAAGGAAGAATAATCTTTTAAAGAGTATGCTTTCCCCGGGTTTTTTACTCGAATATTTTTTTTTCTTCGAGCTTTATAGTTGGCAATTGTTGTGAGAGGAATATTAATTAATTATTATTATATTGATCAGTAAAGGGAATATTGTAGTATTAACAAATTACTCCCTTAACCCGTCGAGCGTCCGCATTCCTTATGATCCAACGGGTGCACATGTGACATTTGGAGAAAGAAAATGCATTTATTTGGCCATTGGCACACGAAAACAAGGATCATTACAATAGAAATAAAAAATACAGTCAAAATAAAAACAAAACATTAATAATAGATTTTATAAAAGAGAAAGCAGCATGGAGCATTTTTTCGCGGGGTTAATGACTACGTTAGTTTTTCTTTTTATTCTACTAGTACAATATTTAAAACGTGTATCATGTAAATTCTAAAACAAAAGCTTCTGAAAAAGCTTGTGTAAAAAAGAAAGATGCTAACATTGCCTGCCATGCGGACCTTTGCAACCAAATCATATGCTCCGTAGAGCACGAACGGGTCAAGTGATCGCAGCAATTTTATTAATGTTAGTTTATATTAAGTTGGATCAATCTTATACCACCTTTATTTTTCCAGGCTAACCGCTTTCCTAATGTATTTTAATTTTAAGTCTTTGCTCGTTAACGCAACCGCGTAATTTTATCTCAGCGGTAATAGTTTCTAAACTGTGTTGAACTTCACAGTAAATATTACCGCAGTGTTTCCTCAGCGTAAATCAGGTAATCTACCCACACCGCTTACTTCAACTTTGTTAGGTTTTAATTTCCTAACTCCGCCCTTGTTAGACGCCAATAAGTAAGTTTTAAACCCGGGAGCATTCAGCCGCAATGATAGAATGAAGTCAATCTCATCTCTCCGCTACATTTTAATGGCTTTCCTTTCAAAATGTCCGTCGGTCGCGGCGGCGGCGACAACGTGGAAGCGAAGAATTGTTAGCGAGGAATAGCCAATATACATTCAATATGTGAAACCATAATAGGTATGTGTTTGTTATCGAAAAGATCTCTAACAGAACACCAACATTAAAATTGACAATACTTTAATATAAACGAATAATTTTATTTTCGATTGCAAGTCCCACTATCTATTATTGTGTAATAATCAAACATTTAATTGTGCATAAAATGAATAGGGCAAAGCACATATTTGAAGAGCAGTTCTCATTTTGAACAACGAATTTGTAGAATAATTTGATAGTGGAAATCTGTTAAATGCTCATAGATCTATCGGCAGTATTTTGCTGAAATAAGTAAATATAAATTTGCTATGAACTATGCCTATTTATTGTAGCAATTTCAATTTGCAACATCCTTTCAACAAAGTAACCTATAACATTTTACATAATGTAAAACTACTTATTTAAATAAAATGTATATCAATTTGCCTTTCTGCCATTGGGGTAGGTACTTTTCGTTTTATCTACATTCATCAATATCTTTATGCAACCTCGTTGATTGAAGTTGTTGTTAATTTGTAACTTCTTACCCATTTGGTAGACTTTGCTTAGTCCGTACCTTATCCACCGACTTCCCTTTGTATTTTCCCTCGATACATCTCGTTCGATAATCTTCTGGCAGCCTTTTTCTTTCAATAAACCACCTTAACATTCTTATTTTTAATTCTAGTTACCATGCCTTCGTTCAGTCCTTCATTGTATGTCAATTTGTATCCAGATATACTTCTCAAAGTAGTCGTCATTCATTTAACTTTTGTTATTTTATTGGCATACCCATTTTTCCTACCACAACTTTTGTCGTTGGTGCCAAAGCAATCAGCAGTACGGCAAGTTATTTAAAATATTTAAGTAAAATAATAGATTTGTCAGTAAAAATATAAATATAAAGTATAAGCTTAAGAGAGGATTATTTTACAGTCGGGAGTTTACGGAGCGATTAGCTTCATACCTATTTACTTCTTCTCAGTCAACAGAGGTAAATAAATAAATAGTAAAACCGTATTTCCAGAAAAAATATACTGTAGGTACCTAATAAATGGGTCAAAAATATTTGATTGTTGTAATCTATTTGTTACCGCGTTGGCCGTGTGATCGCAATCACGATTATGATCATTCTTAAACTAAAATTTTGGGCCCTGGTTTGATTATTGAGCTTTTTTCGAAATTTCTAACATGGTATCTGGTGTGCTCGGTATAGACTAGAGCAATGGACTGGTAAAATTTTATGTACATTTAACGTGTGTTTACTGGATTTCGACTTGCAACCGCTTTTCGTTAATGAAAAGTCTGATGTAATGTTACGAATAAATTCGAAAGTACGTGGTGCTATCAGGGAATATCCAGTGCTAGCATAATGTTTATCTACTAGATCGTAATAACTGAACAAGTCCGTAAATTAATTTCTTTTTCTTAATTTTTAATTGGTACATCGGGTCTTTTTTACAAAGACTACTATTCTACAATTCTAATTTTCGCCTACAATTCAAAGAAAAACCTAATTACGATAGTCCTAGTTGACTTCAAAAGTTGAAATTGAATTTTAATAACGTTTTCTAGAATTCTTTGATCTTATAATTTTTTTATTGTAATGAGATAAACATTTGAATGAAAAGCACAAAATTCCGACACGATAACGTCTTATCTTGGTAAAAGTAAAATATCTCCCAAAACGACGTTTACTTTTCAAATGCATGTAAAATACGATTTTTTAAATTTTAGATTGTGCTCCGTTCATTCTGTACCACGCGCAGTGCTAGCAGTTTTTATGTGCGTACTTTGTTCCTTACTCCGCGTAGTAAGTACACTGAACCGCGGGTCAGGTTTCATGAACCTTCACGGGTCTGCACAAATACAATATCCATAAAGCTCGCTTTACTAGGTATTAAGGTTTACCGTATATCAAAACTATGCAATCCTACGAACTATGGTGACAAGCATACGTGTCAATGAACTGACCTAACTATTGTAGCTTCTGAGGTATACCTGTTACTACTACCCAATAATATCTAAGCTCTTGTCTACCGAGAGAGTAGAAAACTCAATGTATGAGAATGACACTGACAACTGTCAAAATTTACTCTCGGTAAACAAGCGCTACATGGTATTTGGCTCATAGAACTTGTTATTCGGCTGGAAGCTTTTTACATCCTTTTTATGTTCTCCGAAATATCTATTGTGTTTAATTTAAACAATCTTTACACGGTGTATTTTCTTGTTTTAGGGGACATCACACAGAAGGGCTATGAAAAGAAACGCGCACGCCTCCTCACACCATACATTCCACAACAGCAGCCGCAAGGTAAGTTCAACGAGTTCTCATTAACCATAAAACGCAATATCGCTGCTAACACCGATGCCTGAACTAATAAGGTACCTTACAAGACCCATCAGTACTGGCACGTTTTTAGTCAGTGACGTCACGTGTTCCATAATTACAGTACTGTGGCGTCCAAGGTCGCGACAGAAGCGTCGCCGGGGTCAAGTGTCAATTGATCACCGTCGATGGATGTTGGACAATCGCGAAATTATCGAGACGGCACGGCCCGATTCCGCAACGAGGGTCAAACGATGAGGCCATCTTGAATCTGGACCCCCGACTACTCGTATTTAGAGCGCGAGTACGATGAACTTCTGATACACTTGTCGGCTTCAAAATATTACACACAAACGGCTTTCACGATACTCGTAACTGCCGTGTCTGTGTACAAGCATAAGTGGGTGGTAAAACAAAATGTATTGCTGCTCAGTGGAAATAAATACAATACAAAACAAATTAGTATCAAAAACTTTCTATAATGGCCAAACACATTCATAATATTCATTTTCAAGGTTGGATTGCTTTTAGCCAGACAGTGTAATGTTTAAAACCGTCATCAGATAATTTTGCATCGGTTCAGCGACACGGTCGAAATTATTAAAATAATGAGGCCGACCTTCATTCACAGCTCACAAAAAAATAAACTAAACAACCAACCAATTTTGTCCAACTTCCGATCGATGGTGAAGTTACGAAATGTTTGTTTCTCCTTTTTTCCCTTTTAGTTGTTATGGTTTAGTTAGTCGTTACCCACACGCACACAACCACACTTTATCACCACGGTACTATTTCGTAAATAGCACTTAATATAACACTAGATAATGAACACTGTCGAAATGTACCAGCTTTATTCGCTTGCGGTGCAGTTTCGCCTACAAAAAATGCTCACTAAAACCTTGGCCCGAGGTGAAACGTGAGGGGTACGTAATTCAAACTAACTAGACGGTTCAAAACGCTGAGAGAAATTAACCGGTGAACTTTGTTTGCAACAAGCAATAGCTATTGATTTCTACATAGCAAATCCCTTTTAGTGTGTAGAAACGCGATTAAAGCTCGTTCACACGAGTTTATCCGACGCCTGACTCCCCAAATCTGCTAGCTATTCAACAGCTAAAAATGGTTCGTTGCTTTTCGAATTCAGTACAAGTTTGTCGCAGAATTAAGTAATTTATTCAGAGTTCGTCCAATAATGTTTAGAATACAGTCCTATTCGTTAGATGTGAACAGTTAGTTACCTTTGTTTCATTGTCTTTTAACAGTGGCGTTGTTGCACATTGTTGAGAACAATATGGTACACTGACTAATATTGAAAGCTGTGAAATGTAGGCATCGTTTGTCTGTCGTTTGTGCGTGACGTAATAACAAACCTTTCCGTATCGGGTTCCTAATGGTTTTAGTAATTGGCGCAGTGTCTGTATGTACATAAATTAATTATCTATAAATATGAGGTGAAACTGTTTGAAATGTAAGCTGCGCTGTTTGGCTAAACGGTGCCAGTGGCAAGTCAAGATCATTTCACACTGCACTTCTGAAAATAGCCCTTTTGATTAATATTGAGTTGAGAACGTTTATATTGAATCGCACCAACTATCTTATGATTAAGCGAAGTTGATTCATAATATTTGTTTTCAATTTCCAAAAATGTATGTTTAATATGTTTAAGACTTATAAAATAATAGATGTTTTCTATTATGTTAAAAATGTACTGCGTTTCGAATCAGATGATCACTTCTTAAGTGATCTCGTTGCGCTAGACATTACTTCAAAAAATTAGAACGTTTGTATCTATTATTTCGTTCATATAAAAAGAGCCAGTGTACATACAAGGCACTTATTACAACTATTATGTACGTACTTTGTTGCGTGTGAATTCATTCTAGTTTTTTTACCAGTGAAATGTAACGGCCGACGAGCCGAGATCTAATAGATATTATTTACATTATACGTGATGCCTCCATTTCGTGATGCATTATGTTAAAGGAAAATTTTACCAAATATTTCGGTACACATACACATTCGATCACGAGATTTATGAATAGGAAAAGTGCTATTAAGTATGATGATAAAATATTCAATCGTAATAATAATTTCCTACAAATTAATTTATTTTAATAGACCATGAGTAACTGCGTCCACTTACCACCAATTAGCCTAAGCTAATAACGGACTGTTTCCTTTCGATGGCTTGATAAAACAAAACGGAGTAAAAAGAAAAATGTATGTTTTACCACGATATAATTGGCTGCTCAATATTGAGGCTTCATAAACTTAAGAAGGATATTATTGTTATACGGTAGATTTGTCGGTACTTACATTCTTTATTCGATTTAAAATGGCATTCCATTATTTGTCGAATATAACAACGTTTTGCAGTCCAAATCTATAATACTCCTTCAGACAAAGTTACCACTGTTTAGGTTTCACAGCACTTGACGCTCTGAGATCAAAGTACGCGAGCATTAAGTGCATTCAATACCATCAACCCCTTCACCGCTGGCGTACAGTGTTCTGTCTCTCCCTTTCTATCTATGTCCTTGTCTCTCCGAGCTTCGAGAGTCCTGTATAATTCAGAGAGCCCAAGTTTCTGTGCCGTGACTGGATTTAAGTCTCTTCTTCGCCGGTTGGGAGTTAATGAGGATACTATTTTCGACCTATTTTGCAACGGAAGCCAGTATCTGATTTCTTGAATGTTTTTAAAATTTTCATACTTGGTCTATCATCATATTACACGGCATTTAAACTGCTCTAATTAACACTATTCTGGAAAAATGTGATAAAGTAACAGATCAATAAATCATTGAGAAAAGGTGTTGAAATAAATATATTAACAAAATATGAATACTGGTCTTTCTGTACATGTAGGTACATGTATAATCTTTTCTGTTTATTAAGGCAATGCGGCTCACCTGCGTGCCATAAATACAAATTCCATGGTTTGGTACGTGAGCTAAAACAATGGCTAACAAAACTGCGTGGTTGGACGGTAGGGCCGCAAATATCGATTGCCTTTACCTTAGCCATAGTTTTTGGGCCTGCATTGCGGTACCTGATAACGTAAACGACGCTTATCAGCTGGCCAGGTCGTTGACCCCGCGTGATAACCCGTGCCGAACGAACGTGTTAGTACCTTGTCACACCACACCCGCTAACTGTTGTTACTCACGACCATTGTGAGCGAGCTTAGAAGACTTTAGTAGGTGTTTCTGTTTCTGGTTCAACACTATGCGGAAAGTATTAAATATTGGAATTTTATATTAATTTAGCTGTCATTTAACATAATTGTTACCGGTTATCCGGTATTGCAAATGCAATTATTGAGTTTATTCGATCATCATCTACATGATTCAATGAAACGGAAAAATGATACTTGAGCCGTTATTACAGTTTGCATACCCGATACGAATGATTTTATTGAACGTTAGTAATTTAATTTATTCCGCATTCTGAAAATCTGTGTGTAATTGAATATAAACACAATAACAGATTTCAGTTATACATTTTTAGTGAAACGTTTTGTTATTTCATTTTTATTCCGTTTGCATTGATTTGTCTGAATCAACGAATCCGTTGGTAACAACAGCTTTAACGTCAGCAAACATGGCGAGTGTAACACAATGCTGCATGTAACGTGTGACAGTTACCACAATAGTATTCTTAGTAAACAACTTTTTCAGATGAAACGAATTTCTTAAGTATTACAGATTGCTACAATCGCGCTTCGGATATTCGATTTGTTCACTTCTCCGAACGTTTCCCGAGTTCTTACCTGATTTTTACGTTGGATAACTTGGAAGATAAACGAGCCAGTAGAACGAGTGTAGAATCTTTAAAGAGATAGGTAATATAAATATCAGCTATTGGGCATTTACTATTATATTTTTATTTTTATTTACTACCTGTCGTTCATTAAAAATCTATTAAAAATACAATCATTTATCGGGGTATCTAAATCTAGTATAATTTCGTCCAATATTGTGCTCCGCTGTACACACAATTGTACGCGTCGCGACAAAGTCACCTCTTTCGTTCAGGGCCGCGACATAACGATACGCGATACGTTTCTACTTTCGTTGAATTTCGAATATATGAAGTAATTCCGGTATTCTGTATTTTTAATACAATATTAGCCTACAGTGTTTTCTATTTTTATTGTTCGTCCTTCCATTTATTTACTTTTATGTCTTCTTTCTTCAATTCGCAATGAATAAAATACTTTTCAACGGATATACAAACTTGTGTAAGATGGCAAATAGTATTTTGTTGTATCTACCACATGATTCGATTATTTAATTGCTTTTTTGTTCCTTTTTATTTCATTGCCTTTGCACTGACATTTGACCCAATCTCAAAATGTTAATTATAAGCTGAGGTTATGCTAAAAAGTGCTTGTATGTGGAAGCGATGTTGTGTTTATCATCGTCACCATTATTATTTCATGTAATGCACATATCTGTTGTTAAATAAATATTCGTTCATAGCACATCTATTTAAGACCTGCCAATAACGTAGTCGACGACGAATATTTATTTAGCAATTTACATAGGCAATGAGGTACGAACATTGGTTGCAAACATTGGCAATGACCTATTCTGGACGCAGTTGGTAGCCAGCCGCCTCGGGGTCCGCGAGGCGACGGCGGCAGCAGCCGACAGCACACGAGGAACCGACGCACACATCGCCGCGTCACGCACAATGAGAAGAGATACCATTCAGGTATCCGAAACGGAGCCCTACGATTGGTAGTTGCCACAGACACGCACACAAACACTCCTACCTGACGCTACAGGATGTAGACAGGATACATTTTAATGATACTCTCGAGCACAAAAATCGTAGAGAAGGGATTTCACACCCTTGTTCTAAATAATGAGTTAGACGTTAGGCGTCAATTTATAATATACGGTACATTATTTTACTTTAAGATACTAATATTATTACAATAATAAAAATATTTATCGTAATGTTACGTCTAAAGCTTTTCCTTACCTTAATCTAATTAAATCGGTTTTCCTTATAGCGCTCTATAATGTCGTCAAAATAATTTGCGTCAACATGTAAGAATGAGATTACTTGTTCCATTCAAGCAATTAAATGATTAAACTTGCGTTACACTCAAATATATATCAAACAACAATTTTCTCGAACATAGACGACATTGGTTATCAATAACAGATTGCGAGTGTTCACTCATTACGAACACTAATTGTGCAGTAAATTTCAGATGCGTTCAAAAAGTTTAATTGTGTGGCAATTGCACGAACGTGCGACTAATATACATACATATACCAGCAAGCAAGTAATAATAGACTATTGCTATACTGATTTAGAGACGAAAGTCCCAAGCACTGCTACGTCAAGGATTTAGTGTGGTTTAAAAAGAAACATAAAATTACTGTAGACAAACCGCCTCGGGTAACTCCGTTGCACCATTGGGGTTGGTAGCTGCAGTTGCTAGTTGGTTTATTGAAAATTATTTCGTATTCCAAACAAAATGGCTCATTTCATACATTAATATCATGATATGGAGCCAAAGAGGCTGTAAGTAAAATAGAACATCGGAACCGAATTAACAGACTGTCAAGTTTTTCATACGAACAAAATACAAAGTAATTACGTACTAAAACGAAAACTCATAAATTAGATCTCACTATACAACTAGCCGGCAACCGGCCATATTAAGCGAACTAGTACAAGTTGTACGAATCGTTAAACGATAAAGAAAATTAGTTTACACGCCTGGTTTTCTTAATAAACAACATTGGTAATTGATCGGTTCGCTGTACACAAACACACTAAATCTTCACAAGTGTTTTTAATTACACCCAGTTATCTCACGGAACTGTGAAAAACAAATAACGGGTAGCAAACGATACGTTACGCCTTCGTCAAATATAGGCCAATGGTTTAAAAAAAGTATTACGGTACTCGTATGTTAATGTTTCGTAACAGGAAAGCTGTACTGATGAAATTGTTGCATCTCTAATGTCCCGATCCGAGTAATGAGGGCGCTTGCTTATCTTCGCGCTCTTTGTAAGTGCTTGATCACTTTTTGTGGCGCTGACAGTAATTTGTTTGGAGTTTAATTTTAAACCGGATTGTAGAATTTATTTTAAAATGAATCTCATTTGTGCACATTTTATTTCATGGAATCATACCCTATAGTTATCACTCAAGATCAAGAGTTACGTTGTTAGAAGGTCACACAACTCTTTCAAATGTATATATTTACTTTACAAGCAAAAACATACTACTTTAGCTAACAAAGACCGGTTACTTTAGAAAAAATATCAATATAATCTACCAGCTTCAAACAAAGCTAAGTGAACTTCTATTGTTACACATTTTTATTCAACATGAACGTCTGTAAAAGTTCCTTTAAAATAAAAACTGAGAAAACGGTAAAGTCGTACACTTGCCGGTTATTCTGATCCCTGCTGGGAAAATTGTAGTTCGTTTACATAAAATATTTTTCCTTAGACTTCAATAATAAATGTTGGTGCAGTGTCCCCGACGTATAAGCTCCTTATCCGCACTTGAATGGAGCTGTATCTGGTTATTCGTCCTGATTGAACTATCGTACGTTCGCTCAGACAGTAATACAGGGTATTTACATATTTCTTATTGAATAGACACATTCAGCAACATTGTAAGAAAAGAAATTACGTTACCTTATATATAAGACTAGTTAATTTAAATCCTTATAATTAGACTTAAGTTAAAACCCATCTGGATCTTTTAAGTGAGAAGTATTGTTTATTGAATCTTGATGCAGTTTATCGGTACGGTCGCACGATACAACAGATAGGACTCGCTAAAGAACCACAACTGCGCGCCATTGTTTCATTTCTTTTTGTTTTACTCTCGCCTCTGAATGTTACTCCAGGAATTTCCATTTTGCTGTCGATACCCATTTTATTTTGGTATTATCTAGCCGTGGACTGCTCTTTAACGAAACTGTTTATTGGTGAAAGAGAATTTAATAACCCAGTCAATGTAGTGATATATTTATGGGAAAGTGTAGGTACGAACTAAACGGCACAACTGTAGTAAATGAAACATAAAGAGCCTCCATTTGTAAAATGTCCATTTTACATGTGACCAAACTATGTATGACTAACTGACATGTTTGGCTTTCCGATCAATCAACCAGCTTGTAGTAGTTCGTTATATTCGATTTATGTAAAAATTGATTAAGACTTAAAGCTCTACAAAGTGCAATACACAAAAATATTTAATTAATGCCCCAATTGAATATGCGTTTAAAATTTCAAGCGAGTTATTGCACATACCTAAGCGCGGAGTACCGAGTGGATAATCAATTAACTGCTATATCTGGGAGCTATTGGTATGTGCATTTGTGTTTACCTCTGCATGAGTAGCTAATATATCTGTATTCCTCTAATCAATGGTGGATACTAAACCTATAATACTAAAATATTAACTGGTAAATGCACCGGATGTGCTGTATTAAATCTATTTTGGATTTATTGATCTATTCTGGAACACGAACATGGACACGCAGGAAGCGTTCACGCGCTTTGTTTCGAACAATCGATTTTCTCTATAATGCACCGACGAGACGACAACACCTCAGTGGTATAGTTAGCGACTACTGATATTATATTCACATGTTGTTTTACCACGATGAACAATACGCTGTACAGATGTACTTATTCGCAGTTTATTGTCCCTTAATCTAATAACGTCGACATACATTCTACCAGAATTTTTGGTATGGTGCCAGGGTTATTATGGTGCATAAAATCGGTACGATTAGAAAACACTACCACCACTCAAAGAATATGGACTGTATCCGTAGAAATGGTTAATTGGTCGTGACTAATGGATTGAGTAAGACAAATAAAAGTGACGCGGCTTCTATTCTCACGTCGCCGGTACGTCTTCGTTTTGTAGTATTTTGTGTGTCAGTAGAGCACACCTGCCGAGAGAGGTTGTGACGTCACCTATGAAACACTTAAAATTTTCATGTCAATGAACTTTTTGTACGAAAAATAGTCAATCTCCAAATATTGGTTAAGAAAATAGTCTAAAAATGAAAATATAAGTAAATATACTCAACTTTATTAAAAGAAACAATCGTTTTCGAACAAAGACGGGCGCTCAAACGGCATAAAGACCAATTTCTTTAAAATTCAATTGAATAGAATTTCAAATAAAAGTTATTACATTTGTACAATTCTCTTGACGCTGCCGATAAATTTTATTGAAGGCACGATACAAAAGGCGACATAGTCACAATGGCGCAAAAGCGATAATAAACTTACCTACCGTAAGTTAAAAGGCACTGATTTTAGTAATCGAGAATTCACAGGTCACAGCAAATTTTGACCATAGCATTTGTGTAGAAACTGTTTTCGAATCAAAAAGGCAACCTGCTTTAAACATGGAACCAACTATTATGAAAATAAACGCGGGAAATATTTTTCTTCGCGTTATTATATTACAACAGTAAAACTATTTATGGGTTATAAAAGTTTTTATACGTTGCATACTAGTATGCAGGTCCTATAAAACCGCATAGGAAGAATCTTTAGTTGAAAAAAGCATTTAAAGTAACCTACATATTGGAACTAAACTTAAAACACGCACTGTAAATATACGGGCTTCCTCTTTTTACAAACTTTTAGGTCTGTATGTGTGTTTGATTGTTTGTATCGATAGAATCTTCCGAACTAGGTTTTGAAGCATATGCAAGATGGTTAACAAAAATATTTTAAACTTGCTCTGTGCCATTTCTTTTGAGAATATAACGGACACAGAATATCAAGTTCGACGTGTCCTTTAGAAATTATACCTGTAACAAATGGACGGTGTCAAATATCCGTTTTATCTTTATGGTAGCTGTTCATGGATTTTAAGTTACACTAAAAATTGTTTCCATTCAAGCACCGGTAAAAATAAAACTCAAATTCACTGCTATTGAACAAATTTATTCAATCATCACCCCATATAACAGCTATTAATATTATTCCTGCGTCTGGCTAAGATTGCTTCATTTACTTTATACCTGAAAAGACTTTGTACCTATTAACCAACACGTTAACGGTTAAAAATAAATCTGTTTGAAATCAAATATTCGCAGGTGCACAACATTCATTATACAGAGAAGAACAAGTTAAAATTAAATTTGTTCATTTCTGCGCGACCTTTGAACGATTTAAACTACGACTCGCACAGTCGGACTAAGGGTTCCGTAACAATATAGAAAACTTTTAGAATTGTTTCTTATAGCCACGTGCTGTTGTGCCTTTAATGTAAATATGAAATGTTTCAAGTATCTACCTGTTGCAGTTAATAATGTAGAACAAAAACATCTCGAATGTTATATGTAAGCCCCTCTTAAATATTTATTACAATAATTTATCATCTGTGAAAATTTAAACTGTCTAGCTATCACGGTTCTTGAGATGATAGACAGCCAGATCGTAGTCTTAGTAATAGAGTTCATTTTTACACTTCCGATACAAATTCCTAAAAATTTAAAGAGCAAAATTGGTGCTAATATTTTCACCACAATTTCATTCAATGTGAACAGTTAAATAAAACCCACAAATGTCAGCTGCGGGCGGCAAGTGCGAGCAAAGCTTTGAGAGCTTAAATTTAAGGAGCTTTGCCCAGCCTTTTGTTGCTGCATGTTCATAGACACGTATAGAAAGTAAACGTTTGTTTATGTTCAAGATACCGTTGTAGTTACCTTTTTAAAAATTAACTTTAATAATGCAATAGGTATTTATATCTTTGTAGAATGAAAATTTGA